TTTATATTAATTAAAGTGTTTGTAAGCATTTTATGTAAAAAGTAGTACTCACCTTTAGGTTGAAAATGGTATTCACAGAAGTCTCTGCATGAACTACTGATTTACATTTAATTTAGATATATGTGACCCTGGAGCACAAAAGCAGTCATAAGCAGCACATTGTGTGGGTCAAAATTATACATGTCTCTTTTATGCCAAAAATCATTAGGATATTAAGTAAAGATCATGTTCCATGAAGATATTTTGTAAATGTCCTACCGTAAATATATCAAAACTTAATTTTTGATTAGTAATATGCATTGCTAAGAACTTCATTTGAACAACTTTAAAGATGATTTTCTCAATATTTTGATTTTTTTGCTCCCTCAGATTCCAGATTTTCAAATAGTTGTATTTCAGCCAAATATTGTCCTATCCTAACAAACCATACATCAATGGAAAGCTTATTTATTCAAATATATTGACACTTAAGACTGATTTCGTGGTCCAGGGCCACATTTAGTTATTTAAATTATATTAAATTTACAAAGACAATACTTCAAATTTTACTGCGGAATACTCAAAAATGTATCTAATTAATCGCACATCAAATTTGTCTTAGAAATTACAAAAGATCATTTAAAGCCATTATTGTGTTACACGAGAAAACCATGAAATAAGTATTGTAAAAAATGTTACAATTTAAAAAATGTTCTTGTTTCATTTTGTTCTTTCTTTTCTTTTTTTTCATTTTCTTTCCTTTTTTATTTTTAATTTTTGGGTGAACTATCCCTTTAATTAGTGTATTATTAATATGGATTTAGACACGTATAAAGACGCGCACGGTCTGAAATAAACGCGCACTCGTGAAATAAAAATAAACATACTCAATGCGCATGTCATAATCCCATAGTAGGCTAAAAATCCTTTACATACGTAAATTAAACAATATTATCGAGTAATAATCTTACAAATCAGAAACAGCCCAGCAAATAAAATTCATTAAATATCACTCACCACTAAAAGGGCTTTTTCCTGCTCTTCTTCAAAGAGAATTCCTCAATTAAATCCGTCATACAAAAAATTTAATGTAGCCTACGTTATACACAAACCGGAGTAAATTTTACCACTTTGGAATTGTGAATACACAAAGATGTACTAATTTAGGAGGTGGATACTGTGAAATCACATACATACATTAAGGCATAAGATTTGAAAGCACAACTGAACGTCTATACGTTAGTCAATACAGAATTTTTCTTAAAAATGTGAACTAAAATTTTATTGCAACCATGTAGCCTATGAATGCATGAAAATGAGCATTTTTTCAATGAACGAGAACATATAGAGTGTGGGCTGCTTTTGGCTTTTTCAATAATGAGGTCCAAGTTCAATACGCTAGAAGTTACAATTTCAAAAATGTATCATTTTGTTTCTCTATTTAACAACATTCACTTACAATAGTGAACAACGTCTTCCCTCAGGTAGATTGTATGTTTTCTAGCTGGATGTTGTGCTTACGATCAATAATTACATTCAATTCAATTCATATTTCTTTATTGGCATGACATACTTACGTACATATTTTTTAAATGAAAAAATGTTATTGTTTTAAATGAAAAGTAATAGCCTATGATGAACAAGACACGCTAAGTGCTTGCTATTTAATTCCATCCGAAAGACATATTAATCATCCATTTTTACTTTAATACAAACATGTAGGCCTATTTTAAATAGTTTTTAACAAACAATGTGACTTTGGAAACTAAACAGTTAAATATGAAGAGGTCAAGTGAATCCAAATTTCACAAAAAGCTTATGGACGTAATTATAAGTCCGTCATTCAAGTGAGCTGCTGTTTCTGTCACTCTTCTGAGGAAGATTCATTCACTTGTTTTGAGCAATTTTGGTCAGATTTTCATCTAATCTCTTTTATTTTTTGGTAAGTGACTTTTTTTTCTGTTTTAAAGATATTTTCTTTGGATTGTTTGACTACTCAAAAGAGAATATAGGAAAATATAACTTAATTAATCCATGTTTCCTGCGATAAATGTCATAAACAATCTCTTAACCTCTCTTTTCTTTATTCAGAGTTGATCTAGACAAGTATGGGGAAACTATCCAATCTTAAAGCAGTGAAAACTGCATCTCTATATTCATCCTATGTGTCTTCTTAAGATAAAGAACATTGTTAATATGGACGTAATTATAAGTCCGTCATTCAAGTGAGCTGCTGTTTCTGTCACTCTTCTGAGGAAGATTCATTCACTTGTTTTGAGCAATTTTGGTCAGATTTTCATCTAATCTCTTTTTCTTTTCTTTTTTTGTAAGTGACTTTTCTTTCTTAAAGATTTAAAAATGTTTTCTTTGGATTTTTTGACTACTCAAAAGAGAATATAGGAAAATATAACTTAATTAATCCATGTTTCCTGCTATAAATGTCATAAACAATAATCTCTTAACCTCTCTTTTCTATATGTCTAGAGTTGATCTAGACAAGTATGGAAAATATCCAAAGCTCTGGTAATCTCTCTATTCATCCTGTGTGTCCGCTTAAGGTGTACATTTATTTATTGTTAACCTGGCAACACATCCCTTATGAAAATTAACCACACACAAAAAAAAAACATGGTTACTAGTTAAATCATGGTAACCACAAATTAACCATAATTTTAATTTAACCATGGTATTTGTAGTAAAACTGTGGTTATACAAAAATATATAGCCTATGGTTAGCTACATTCCCAATAAAACCATTATTATTTTTTTAAGGGATTTGTATTTGTGAATACTTTCCTTCTTTCTTTTTTCTTTGTTTTCTTTTTTTAACTCTACTGCCTTAATGGTTTGCACCATTTAACAGGCTAACAGGGCCATCGCTAGGAATTCTGGGCCCTTTGCACTGAATTTGCTGTGGGGCCCCCTGGGCTTGTGAGTCAAATGATTCGCGAACCCGCTTAGAATTTCAGAAAAGCTGCGTTTCACCATCACTACATGCTTTTTAAAACCATTACATGTGATGTCGAAATTGGAAAATGAATGGTTCTTGTGATCTGGCTTTTGCTAGTGAATCGCCTGAACTGAATGATCGGAGTCACGAGTTTGAATCAATCGGAGCGGTTCCAGCGTAAATGACTCACTCAATTGAATCGGTTCGTCTGTTCCTCTGCTTTTCAGTCATGTTTACACGACACTGTCAGCACAACTCGCTAGTTTTATGACATTAACTGGAATAAGTGGAAAAAGCATCGATGTTTACAAATAAAATATCCATATTTCCATTCCAAAGATAACATCCAACACAAATCTACGAACATATTCAAGTGAGGTAAGGCAAAACGAAGCTTCTCCTCGTTATCAGTCCACCTCGGCCGAACCGGCACATCAAACACCTCTCCAATAAAATCCTTTCAAAGTCATATAGTTGAGCTGGTGCTGTTAATATTTGATCAAAGGCCGGTAAGTGATTCCATCACGCGCTCCCATGTCCCAGAACTAATGCGCGATCACTGGGTTTAATCAGAAAGGTCTGAATATGAGCACAGAAAGCTCAAATAAACATGATTTACTGCATGATTTATTCATTTTGGCACATCAATATTTAAGGCCGTCTGATGATGTGCTTTTCCATATTTTGCATAATTTTTACACTTGTAAATTCAGACAGATTTGTTTTGAAACTGGGGAGATTCAGAGACACGTAGGCTACACACATATATTGCTTATACATGAACTTTCCAGCTCATCAGTGGACAGACATGTAATTTGTCTCAGTGAACACCAGAGGGAACTTCTACAAAATTCCTGATCATATTCCCATTCTTATTAATGAAATCAAGGAAATCTGGTCTTTACTGTGGGGAATTTGACCTTTATGAAGAAAATCTGACCTAAAACAGCCTGTCTCCTCTGATTGAAGGCATTTGAGTGTCAGATCTAATATTACAAAGAATATAAAGTTCACTGAGAGCAGATCAAACCAAACAAATCAAACTTTATTAGCCAAGAATTAAATTATAAAACACAATATTGAAACAGAAAAAAGAAGTAACAAAACAATATATATTTGACATTAAATAATAGTTAACAAATAACTTTGTCTTAATTAAAGCACAGGATGAAGTCTTTCTTGTCCTCTAGTGTAGTAACATTTTTCTTGCTTATAGATTTGTTTATTAAACCCATGCCAGCTTCTTTGCTATTTTGGCGAAAACCATTCTTGAGTTTAAAAACTGTATGAGATCCCTGTCCTCTGTGCATGAGTTTAAATCGAAGTTAAAGTCTTATCTTCTGGCCCGAGCTTTTTAGCAATTCTTAATTATGTTCTATTTATTTTTATGTCTTATTGCGTTCGCTGTGCACATTTTACTTTCACTTTCGAATTAGCGGCAGTTCAGCGTCAGGTAACCAAACAGTTGCCGGTAGCCATTGATGTCCATAGTTTTTTTTTTGTGCTGTCAAATGATTAATCGCGATTAATCGCATCCAAAATAAAATATATGCTGTATGTGTGTGTCTTTATATATACATAATAAATATACACAGTACACACACATATATTATGCAAACAAAAACGTTTATTTTGGATGCGATTAATCGCGATTAATCGTTTGACAGCACTATTTGTTCTCATACTATGGAAGTCAATAGGGGCCAGCGACTCTTTGGTGAAACACATTCTTCAAAGTATCTTTAATTTTTAGTAGTGCTGGGCAACGATTAATTGCGATTAATCGTATCCAAAATAAAAGTTTGTGTTTATATAATGTGTGTGTACTGTGTATATTTATTGTGTATATATAAAGACACACATTCAGCGTGACATATATATTTATATTCATATAATTTATATTATATAAAAACAAATTTAATATATAAACAAAATTTTTCTTAAATATAGACATGCATGTGTGTGTATTATTTATATATACATAATAAATATACACAGTACACACATATATTATGTACACAGAAACATTTATTTTGGAAGCGATTAATCACGATTAATCGTTGCCCGGCACTAATTTTTAGGTGAACCATCCCTTTAAAATCCCCTGATATTTTCAGGTTTTCCGTGACATCTCTAAACAGACTCATAGTTCGGGTTCGGGTTTTTCTCCTCCTCTGATGTAACCCAGTGCTTTCTGCGGCCCGTAGGAGGAGGTGGGAAGCGGAGCAGGGAATGTGGATGAAGGGAGCTGTGACTGTCGATCCAGAGACTGATAGATAGAGGGCGATAGAGAGCGGTTAAAGTGCAGCGGCGAGCTGGCGGTCCGAGGTGTGCGGGTGAGCGAGGAAGACGAGGAGGAGGACAGATGCGAGCGGCTCCCGTATCCATACACCGCGCTGCTCAGGAGGAACTCCCTCGAGCCGTACGCCGGAGGACTCGGACCGCGGAAATCCTTCGCCAGGCTGCGTCTGCTGGGAGTTTCATAGATGCTGGCGTCTGATCCGAGAGACACCGGAGCAGACTTATCGCTTTCGTTCGAACCAAAAGACACCAGACTGGATTTTTCTCTTTCGTCTAAACTGAGAGACACCGGAGCAGATTTATCTCTTTCGTTCGAACCAAAAGACACCGGAGCGGATTTTTCTCTTTCGTCCAAACTAAGAGACACCGGAGCAGATTTATCTCTTTCGTCCAAACTGAGAGACACCGGAGCAGATTTATCTCTTTCGTCCAAACTAAGAGACACCGGAGCAGATTTATCTCTTTCGTCCAAACTAAGAGACACCGGAGCAGATTTATCTCTTTCGTCCAAACTAAGAGACACCGGAGCAGATTTATCTCTTTCGTCCAAACTGAGAGACACCAGAGCGGATTTATCTCTTTCGTCCAAACT